AGCCCATCAAAGGGGTTCTCGTCACCAGAGGAGAGGGGTGGTTTTGCTCCACGTAAGAAAAACAACTTGTGCGTTCTTGTTGATTGTACCAGGCATTTTGCTGAAACCACAAACCCATAGCAAGTGAAGCATGAGGGCTACGTTGGCCCATTAGAAGCTGTGAAGTGTGTGAGCAGGCAGTGGCTGTCTTGTTGATGTGGTTGTTCATGTTGCACAGCTGGTACCAGATGTGCACTCAAGTTGAAACCCGAGAGGGGCGTTACCCATAAAGTATCTAAGCCCCAAGTCCTCCTGGTTTCGTGTTTATTTGGGGGATAAGTGGGTGATGGCAGCTCTTGTCAGAAGAAACTCTGGCTGTGGTTCCATTTCCTCTGTTCTCTGAAACATTTCCTGTGAGGGGCTGACCTCTGCCTGACTCCTGAACGTGCCCCTGGGCTCTAAGCATGTGATTGTTCCTTGTACCTTGTATTTTCTCGAGTACAGTGGTTAAAGTACTCGACTGTTAACCAAAAAGTCAGTGGTTCTAACTCACCAGCACCTCCATGGGCGAAAACTGATTTGGTTCTGAAAAGATTTACACTCTTGGAAACTGTATTGTTGTTGTTGTTATTAAGTGCTGTAGAGTCAGTTCCAACTCTTAGTGACCCATTGTATGTATAAGTTCTCATTGTATACATTTACTGGTGCAGCTGGTGGGTTTGAACTGCCCACTTTGTGGTTCAAAGTCCACTTCTGATCCTACTACATCATGCTAGGAGTCCTCAGAGAATATAACTCCATGGTGGTGGTGATTTGCCATGGAGTCAGTTCTGACTCATACTGACCCTGTATAGGGTTTCCAAGGCTATAAATCTTTATGGGCGCAGAAACCCTCATCTTTTTCCTGCAAAACGGCTGGTAGTTTCGAACTGCTGACCTTGAGGTTAGCAATCCGACTCGTAACCACTATGCTACCAGAGCTCCTGATCGCACCCTTCAGGGCAGCTGTATTCTGTCTTACAAGTGCATTAGAATCGTTGACTTGCTGCCAGTAGGCTTTGCTCAGTTCATGTGAGGGGCCTGTCAAATCCTCACAGTTTTCCCTTCACTGTTTGCCTTCCTCATCTTTAAACTACCATGATGGAAACCACCAAGCCAAGTTCCTCTCCCTTTCTCATACTAAGAGCTTCTGTACAGTTTTATAAATCTGATTCTCTGCTTATTAGAAATTCAGGCTAACATTATAGTGTTTCTGGAAACTAGGCCAAAGCAGAAACTTGCCTTCCTTAAGCAGAAGAGTCTTATCACTGCCTAGAAGCATAAGTTGGAGAAATGAAGGGCCAGACAGATTGTTTAATGCCAGACCAATCTGGAAACTCGAGTTTCTGTCAATGAAAGCACCAGCACCTTATCCTGGCCTCCATTCATCAGCCCCCAGAGCCTTGGTCCATGATTGTCAGGGATGGAGGAGAAGGGAGTCAGTCTCACTGGTCCGTGATTGTCAGGGA